AGTCGTTCGAGAGAAAGATCACAACGCCCGGCGCCAGCAGCTCTTGCAGCGTCCACCCGCGCCGGAACCAGACGCTCTGCTCGAATGCAGCCATGTCGCTCACAGTGGGAACATCCTCCAAGTATGCTAGACACACCTCCGCGTTGCGATACCACTGGAACATCGAGTTGATCGCTTCCGACAGCTCGCGATCGGCGTGCTGCTTGATACAGCACGTGTCGACCCACAACCACTTCACCAGCGGCAGGTGTGTCCTCATGTATGCCACAAACCCTTGCACCTTGCGATATCCCGCTGTGTCCGTCCTCTTCGTCTCGTAGACATCCTCCCACATCGCCTCGGCGCCCGCCGTCCAGCGATGCGATGCGATCGCATAAGGCGGGGGAATCGTCCCGAAGTACTCCGTAAAACTGAACGTGTCGACGTTGAGGAGTCGCATGTTGCGCTCAGGATCGCGATGATACACATTTGAGAGAAGTCACTAAAGTAAAAGTAAAAGTCGCGAATAGACTTCTGCTCCAGTTCATCGAATGCCCACGACGCAGCGTCGCATCCCGGCTGCCCTCTAGTCGTCTGCAGCTGCATGGTGGCGCAGCCCACACGTGAGGCCTCCTAGGATCACCAGTAATTGCTCAAGCATATTTTGGCCTCAGGGACACAGGTTCGAAACGGGCAGCCAATGCACTGCGCATACCGTAACGCCAGAATAAGAAACATGGCCGGGAACATGTGTTTTGGATATAGCGAGAGTCTCGGATGAAGGAATCGACAGCCCTAAGCTCTGCGGTTGCGTGGAGCCCGGCGCTTACGCAGAGAACACCACCGCTGCCTGAACTTGGGCCAGTCCAGCGGCTCTGAGCACCACCACGTCAAGAATTCCCTGCAAGCTAATTTTAACTCATTCCCGTCGCTCATCTTGTTCACCCGTACTCGGGACCTGCATCCTTCTCCTAACATCATCGTTGCATGTCCGGCGAAATGACCGATCGAGTGACACAGGTTCTCGATGGATTTCACGCAAGCAGTGTCGTCACCTCGCTGCGACAAGCGGCAGAGAACGGCAATGTGCCCCGCACAACGCTTCAGCATCGTGCACGTGGCCGACGATCACTTCTCGAGAAGGCTCAAAGTCAGCAGTATCTACGTTCTTCCGAGGAGACCGCTTTGGTACGATTTTTACTGCAGCAGGACGCGCTCGGCCGACCGGTCCGCGTAAAGCACGTCCGCTCGATTGCTTTCAGTCTAGCATGCTCACGTGTTGTCGCGGAAAGACCGAGCAAGCCGCCGGGCAAGAACTGGTCGCAGTCGTTCTGCAAACGGCATCCCGACATCCTGAAGGCTGGCAAGAGCAGCGCGATAGACTGGAACCGCTTCGACATCTATGAGAAAGTGGTGCAATGGTTTGACGTGATCGCCGGCGTGCTACAGAACCCGGAAGTCCTACAGGAGAACGTATACAACATGGACGAGACGGGTGTAATGCTGTCAAAGCTGAATTCGGTGAGGGTTATCATGGATAGAACGAACCGGCACGGCTGTCGAGGCGCACGTGTGAAGCGGACGACCGTGACAGCAGTCGAGTGTATGAGTGCTGACGGGCGATATCTACATCCGATGATCATCTGGCCCGCGGCCGCCCACCGAGCGAACTGGGTGACTCATCCTACACCTGGATGGCATTATGCCTACTCCGACAGCGGATATACAGACTCATATCTCAGCCTGCAGTGGCTTCGTCTGGTGTTTGATCCGCAGACGAGAGACCGAGCGGGACAGCGACCGCGTGTGCTGATTTGTGACGGCTTTGGCACCCACGAAACCCTCGAGGTCCTTGAGTTCGCTCTTCAGCACCAGATCATACTTTGCCGCCTGCCTTCCCACACATCCCATAAACTGCAGCCATGTGACATCTCCATCTTCGGTCCACTCAAAGGAGCATATCGTGATCAGGTAGAACGGCTCGAGCGAGGCGGCATAGGAACGATCGGCAAAGAGCACTTCACCATGTTGTATTGTCATGCGCGTGAGATCGCGTTCACGCCCCGGAACATCCGCGCAGGATGGTCCAAGGCAGGTTTGTTCCCATTCTGTCCCGAAAGAGTGTTTCGTGATCTGCCGCACCGCGCTGCGCCTCCTGTCATAGCAGAATCGGGGAATGGGGATGCGGCTGGCCAGCAGGACGCCAATATACGAACGTGGTCAATACCAACCATTCCATCCACACCGACAATACCCATGACACCTGTAACTCCGGTAGATCTTGCAGGCATCACAGCTTTGCGCGATGTGATCCGACGCGATGTACAAGATCTGGACAGCGGTTCCCACCACCGCTTACAGAAGCATGTTCAGAAACTATCAAAAGCTGCTGAAATTTCTTTCGCCGAGTACGCACTGCTCGAGCGGCGCAACGACTTCCTGCAAAAGACCAACAGCGAAGCTCGGGTACGGCGATCAACGAGACCAAAAGTCATCGGAACAGCGAGGGTGATGAGCTACGAGGATTTGGAGAGAGCGAGAGATGAACGGGCACTTCGAGACGCGAGACCGATCTCAAAGCGCAGATCGAGTGCTAGGGCTGTGGCGCACAATGCTATTAATGAACCTTCGAATGTGGTCCAGACCAATATCAATTTGGTAAGCGTACAAGAAAGACGCACAGAACCGCTTATTCAAGGACAAGAGGAATATCGAGTGCCAACCGCTAGAAT